TGTCAGCTTTATGTGGGAGGAAAGCAAGAAAGTGATGCAGGTCTCAGACGTTTACCACTTGGGTGAAGACCACAAGCACGGGTACGGTGCTGACAAACCTAGAATCATAATCAGGGCGAACTGGGATTCGAACCCACAAGGGACGCAACTCTGCACAGCGAATCGCGGCGCCTTAGACGTCCCGGCCACCCATACCCCGGATCCTGTCACATATAAGGGATGTAACTCTACACAACAAAGTAACGACTTAAGGAAACTTTACAAACTGTCTCACGACTTATCTCTAAAGATATGGACAAATCAACCAGAACTGAAACCAACTTCTGGACTACAAAACAAACAGACCTAAATCAGCTAATCTTGTACTTTTGACATGTTTGACCTTACGCCTAATGACATGAGGCGAGTTGGGAGGAAGTACCACAGCTTAACTTCCTCCTCATGACTGGTAGCAAGGTCTGCTGCTTGACCCAGACATGCCTGGAACGGAAGACTGGGGAAAGTACTGTCACTTCCTGCTTTGCATACAAGAACTGTGATTGATGATACAGTCCGAGCTTGGGGAGAAGGTCAGGAAAACGTCTTGCATTGTAATGGGGTTTGATGTTGCGTTCAAGATTATTGCACTTTTATATAGTGCATGCATGCGCGTGTGTGTGTGTGTGCTTGTGTGCACTAGTCCGGAGTAATGACAATATATTTTATAGTGCAATAGATCATCTTCCTGAGGCAAGAGAGTTAACTGACTATAAAAGTTCAGTTTCCACCCTTGCTGAACTAGGCTGGTATTATGGAGTTACATTTTGGCTGGACTAATGAGTCTATGCATAATCCAATCAAAATGGCGCAACGAAATCGAAATCCGGTTACTAAACTGTCGTGCAGATTTTGGTCAATTGCAGGATTTGCAATGCATGTGCACCCCCAACTCGTTGTCAAGAGATATTTTCCAAATATATTCATGTTTTTGATCAAGGTGCTCACGTGATTTGATGCATTTTGCGATGTAAGAAAGACCCGTTTTATCACAATATAGACCTCGATTATCAATCAGATTGTCTTGAGTGGGTGCCGCTGTTTTGTTTGAAGCAAATGCAAGTGATATGAGAGGTGGAATCTGAATGGGCTATAGGAGCTGCTTAGAAGGGACATAACTGGTAATAGCCACTGGTGGCGCTACAATCGAGCCCAGGAATTCCAGCCTAGTTCGGCAAGGGTGGAAACTGGACTTTTAAAGTCAGTTAACTCCCTTACCTCGGGAAGATGTCTGAGATACATTAATACCCCACTCAGACACAGTATTCTGACTCGGAGCTGACCAGTGCTGGTTTTAGCCAAGGGTAACAACAAGTACCATGTTTTAACGTCTTTTGGTATGACGCGGCCGGGCATCAAACCCCGGACCTTCCACTCTCCAAGCAGATGCTCTCCCACTAGACCACGGAAGTGGTGAATTGTAAATACGAACTACCCACTTCATCATGTCATGGATACAAGTGACTTGTATATCACCGACAATAGTGTCATAGCGACTGATTTACGACATCCATTGTCTGAAGAACATTTAATTGCAAAGGCTCACTACCCTGGAGCCATGACATCTATATGCCTTGAAACACTTAATTGCTGTTATTTATAAGATGCTAATCCTAATAGTTAATCCCCATTTTTGTGTACATCGACCGTCTGCCATCCTGAACGAGATGTGCAAGTATGTCACTGATGAATTACTATTTACATTTATATTTATTACTTACTAAATGTCGGGTGACCTCGGCTATATAAGCCTTGGTCCAGAGAGATTATAGATATATATTGAAGAGAAGGAAGAAAGAAAGGTCTTACACTTAGCCTAGCTAGGGTTAGGCTGGGTGCTCCGGGGCACCTAGACAACAACCACTACCACTATGTGCTGACCTGGCACATAGTGTCCAATGTATGTATATATCTACATGTATAAAGTAAAACTGTATATACCGCAAGCCATCATCTCCAAGTTGTCACTTCCTACTGAGAACCATACGTCGGCCCTTTGCATATACGAGTATGCAAATTATTCATTAATCAACGTCAGACCAACGTGTTGTTAAAAGGACCAATACAGAGGATGAGGCTTCAGAGCTTAGTTTTACATTATTGCACTGAATGAAATCACAGAACACCTTTAAATATGAAAATATAGATTTTAAAATACAACATTTATTTCAGAATGCGCCTGGGCTCTTAGTTCGTAATTCAAGACAAATCCTTGCTTAAACATAAAAATTGTTCCTGATTCAGAGAATTATGAGAATTACAATACATGTATTTTGAAAAATAAAAATTGTAAATAAGCAAACATTAACTGTTCTTGAAATATCACAACTCAAAGGCCGGTTAAGATATTCATGATTCTCATGTCTAGTTTGAAAACTGACTGGATATAGGTCGACTGGAAATGACAGTGGCCCACACACTCATGAAATACACCAGATACTATTGATTTTAGATTTCATGGTCTTCTGAGACAAAAAAGAGTTTTAATACCCAGTATTTGTCAAGGCAGGTTAATAAGTATCTTAATATAGTAACGTGTTAATGATTAGAAATTCTCTAACAAACAATCAAAAATAGCACCAAGGCTATTGCTCACCAGTTCAGTGTCAGCGTTCATACGATACATTTATCTACAGTGAAATCTGTAGGCATTAGGGGTGTCACGATAAATCAAAATATCGATATATCGCTATTGGTAAGCACTTAAAGTCAATAAATCGATTGTTAAATCAGTTTCCGATTAATAGTATCGATTTCAATTAGGAATATCGATAGTTTCGCTTGTTTTACACTTCAATAAAATACATGCAATGCTGTTCAAATTTGTTTTTCTTTTGATCATGAGTGGTAGTAATTTACACATGGTAATGTTAAAGTTTCTTTTTCTTACATTATTAGGGTAATGATAAAAACAAATCAGTCATATCTCAAACTTTACATTTTGTTTGTTGTTATGGTAATCATTTTCAAAGGAAACTTCAGTTCCAAGGTTGAATTCAACTCTTAAAATCCATCTAAAATGATACACTGAAAACCATCGATATTTATCGCAATAGTTGCTTGCAATATCAATAGTTATCGCAATAGTTTCTTTCAATATCAATAGTTATCGCAATAGTGATTTCCAGGCCAATAGCTTGTCTTTTGAACCTGCTCCGAAATAATTATAGTCAAGAAGTTTCCATGCAATTTGAAATAAATATGTGAATCGCGATATGTATCGTTACCTACGTATCAAGATATGTATGGTACCGTGACCTTGCTGAATCCTTTCACCCCTAATTGGAATACTGTATAAAGAAGCTTTAAATCCAACTCACTCACTCACTCACTCACTCTGTGTTATTTGCTCTCTAACACAATGGATTTTGAACTCGCTGGACAACAGAGGGTGACCTAAGTTTGGGTTAGTTAAGATTCTGGGAGTTAAACTGGGAAGCATCAAATAACAATCACTGAGGTTTTACTTGGAGGTGACAGACACCATCTAATGATTCCTTTTTAAAGAATGTGACATAAACATGCTACACTTTCAGCTTTAAGCACATAAACTGTTCCCTTCATTTAAAGGCTTTATAAATGACCCTGTTAGGACAGGCAATACATTATCTAAGGGTTTTTAACGATTACTGAATTTCACTGTGCGCTGAAAAAAAAATGTTATTGATCCACAAACGCTATTGGCCTATCACTCCCTTGCTAAACATATTTTTTTCAAATGTATTTAGTAATTTGAGTTTGAAAAAAAATAGTTTTTTTTTCCAAATCTAGTAGACATGTTGAAGTTGAAGTCATGTTACCATGGTTACATATCACACCAGTGATTGTGAGGGAATTTGTCGTGACGAAGTGTAAACTTGGTAGCTAGACAGGTCATTGTGAAAAACTTCATCAGTGAAAGAAAATTGTAAAAAATCAAAGTTTTCATTTGTTGTACTGAACCACCGTTCAATGTTTTAGTAATTGCCAGCACTGCAGTCAATCAGACTTCAGTTGTATAAACAAGTAGACAAGTAAACAGAAAAACAGGTAAACAAGTAAACAGGGAACGGTAAACAAGTAAACCAGTAAATAGGTAAACAAATTAACATGAAAACAGGTAAACAAGTAAACAGGTAAACCTGTAAACAAGTAAACAGGTAAACCTGTAAACAAGTAAACAGGCAAACAAGTAAACAGGTAAACAAGTAAACAGGTAAACAAGCAAACAGGTAAACAGGTAAACCTGTAAACAAGTAAACAGGTAAACCTGTAAACAAGTAAACAGGCAAACAAGTAAACAGGTAAACAGCAAAACAATTAACTCGAACAGCAGTGAGTGTACAAATTACAGTTAACTCTGGGCCGCCACAACATGGGAAGGGTATATCATTCTCCAGGACTTTTTGGCAAACACCAACTCCTGGATCCACGTGGTTTTGCGATCTCAAATTACCCGCCCTTGGTTTTCATGAACATTTTACCAACCAATCAACTGCCGAGTTGAGGGAAAAGGAAATGGCTAGGGAACTTGCCTTTGCCATTTTAGTGGACACTGAGGCCGGGCATGTCAGTGGGCTATATAACACCAGCATTAGTCCGGAGCAGCCACACACACACATACACACTTGCATACACTTCACTATCAAAGACAGATACTGAAGTAATACTGCACGCAGTCGGTCCTTATGACCTGAGCATAGTACAGTCATCAGTCATTTTAATAACTATCAGACTATGGCCGATGACTGAACACTTATACTTTACACCCTGAACACGGGCGGATACAGCTTTTTTTAAAAGAGGGGGTGCACAATTAAGATCTATTTATTGTCTTTGGTGGTAATTTATACAGAAATAAAGATTTTTTTCGAAATAAAAAGGGGGGATGCGCACCCCCGCCTCTGTATCCGCCCATGCTGAATACTGATATATTAATACAAAGCTTTGATCTGTAACAATGGTAACACAGAACCTATACTCACCCAAGACTCAAGTCCTCAACACGTTCTTCAATGTCTGCGTTTCTGTCAGCCATGGTTGGAGTTCGTTACTGTTGGACACTTAACACTGCAGCCTGTGAAGAAGAATGGATGTTTGAGTAACCTAATGAAGCTTTGCAAATAAAAAATGTGGTACCTCCTGTTGCAATCTCTACTAGAAAAAAAGTTGACCCACATTTAGAAATTGATTATCAACTCGGAGATAACCTGTGACTATGTGCACATCACAATCAACATGCCTGATACAGCAACTACTGACTTTCTAAAACATAGGCCTACCTCCAGCCAACCATCTCTATATTCAAGTAAAACGTAGGCCCATCTCCAGCCAACCATCTCAATGTTCAAGTAAATCGTAGGGCCACCTCCAGCCAACCATCTCTATATTCAAGTAAAACGTAGGCCCACCTCCAGCCAACCATCTCTATGTTCAAGTAAAACATAGGCCCACCTCCAGCCAACCACATCTATGTTCAAGTAAAACGTAGGCCCACCTCCAGCCAACCATCTCTATATTCAAGTAAAACATAGGCCCACCTCCAGCCAACCATCTCTATATTCAAGTAAAACGTAGGCCCACCTCCAGCCAACCATCTCTATATTCAAGTAAAACGTAGACCCACCTCCTGCCAACCATCTCTATATTCAAGTAAAACGTAGGCCCACCTCCAGCCAACCATCTCTACATTGAAGTAAAACATAGGCCCACCTCCAGCCAACCATCTCTACATTCAAGTAAAACAAAGGCCCACCTCCAGCCAACCATCTCTATGTTCAAGTAAAACATAGGCCCACCTCCAGCCAACCATCTCTACATTCAAGTAAAACGTAGGCCCATCTCCAGCCAACCATCTCAATGTTCAAGTAAAACGTAGGCCCATCTCCAGCCAACCATCTCTATATTTAAGTAAAACGTAGGCCCACCTCCAGCCAACCATCTCTACATTCAAGTAAAACATAGGCCAACCTCCAGCTACCATCTCTATATTCAAGTAAAACGTAGGCCCACATCCAGCCAACCATCTCTATATTCAAGTAAAACGTAGGCCCACCTCCAGCCAACCATCTCTATATTCAAGTAAAACGTAGGCCCACCTCCAGCCAACCATCTCTATATTCAAATTAAACGTAGGCCCACCTCCATCCATCCATCTCTATATTCAAGTAAAACGTAGGCCCACCTCAAGCCAACCATCTCTATATTCAAGTAAAACGTAGGCCCACCTTCAGCCAACCATCTCTATGTTCAAGTAAAACATAGGCCAACCTCCAGCTACCATCTCTATATTCAAGTAAAACGTAGGCCAACCTCCAGCTACCATCTCTATATTCAAGTAAAACGTAGGCCCACCTCCAGCCAACCATCTCTATATTCAAGTAAAACGTAGGCCCACCTCCAGCCAACCATCTCTATATTCAAGTAAATGAAGTGGACCCTCATTGGGAGAATACTTCATGAGTTTTAAATTTCATCTGCTGAAAACATTTTTAATTTGCTCCAAGTTATGGAGGGAAAGATGAAAAATAAATACATTGTACATTCAAACATTTGATGAAGAATAATACCTGAGGGATTAGAAGGCCAAATAACAGTTTGTCCAATGACAACATGCAGCCTCACCAACGCCATTTTTCACAAATACAAAAAAACAGGGGTAGATTGTAATTTCAGGGTTTCTTAGTTGGTCAGTCTCATAACCAACTTAATAACCAAAAATGTAAGAAAAGAAGCCTTAGAATCACATCCAGTTATATATATACATGTATATATAGGACAGCCATTCATCAGTATCAATTCATAACTTTACACGGGTTAACATGGTTAAAGTCTTTGATTGGCGTTTGGAAGCTGGAAGAACATGAATAAATGACACTCTGTTATGGATAACAAAATCCAAAGAAAGAAGCCAGCCATTGACACGGGCCAGGGCATCTACCTTTCAGTGAGAGTAATACACTGTGCTTTAAATATCGTCACCTACAAATAAATACACTACAACGCAAAAGTTTTTTACTTTATTTCACTAAATTTCTGCAGATGTTTGCGTAACTATGTTGGGACTACGCAAAATGAGTCTAACTGATTATCATGAATATGTATTACGCAGTTAAGAGTTATATGTATACATGTAAACTATAAAGTGTATTCATTTTAACGTCGTACACGACCTTCGCAAACTAGTTGAAAGGTCCACTTGCTATTCACTAGTCGACAACATCTCCAATCTCATTAAAATAAGATTATTTTTTTTACGCTACCGCAAGACAAAGATCTGAGGATATCAAATTACGGGTCACGTCAGAACAACCTTTTGCGAATTTTGACCGACCAATGAAATGACTGACAAGAAATCAACATTGGCCAATCAGACGGCAGCTTTCTTGAGCTTTATGACACTATATTCAAACTGGCGACTAGAGTTCGAAACATATTTTGACATATTCTCAATGAAAATTTTTAAAAATTGATAAGAAGAACATTCTGGAATGGCTTAAAGATGGCCTAGATTGTATGGATATAATCATACAACCTGTAACTGTCGTTCGGAATACCCCCTGTTAGATATATCATGGTTGCATGATTAGAAAACACATTCCGACTGTCACTTTCATCATCTGGTAAGCGACGCTCTGATTGGTTGGATGAAAGGTCGTTCTGACGTGACCCTTTGTGGGATGTCCTCAGATCCTTGTGTAGCGTTGGCGAGAACTAAGATCTGATTTTAATGAGATTGCAACAACTCAAAATAGTCAAACAAGTTTGTGTTGTCTATGCAACATCCTAACCTTGGGAACTGCTTGTGCACAGGCAAGTTGTTCAGTACAATATTTTTGTTATTAAAATCTTTTTCAATTTGTTTCCACCATTTTCTCGATACCCTTTTATGCATATTTAAAATTTATGTTGCTTAATCATATTGCTCATGTCAGTGTTCCCAAATCTCTTGTATCATAAAACATATTATGTTTCTCCTTCCTAATCTAATGTTATAACATTTCCGATCATAACCATCATCGAAAACACAACAGATGATGCCAAGACAAATGTTACTATTGTCCAGTCATTGTCTCTATGGCCTGAAAATAGATTTTCTTAGTCTTTCAATCTTATGTCTAGGTCATAAACAGGACCATTAGCTGATATAAGGAATGTAAGATCAAGTGAATTGTCCAGTTATCTTACTTACTGGGTTGTTTTATCAAATAAGAGGACAGTATACAACATATGTCAGTCTGTGTGGAAGTTTTTACAATTCATATTCACAGATAAATAACAGTTGTGACAGGGAGGATTGTATGCTAGCTGAAGCAGACAGATTGAGAGCCATTGTCAACGTGAGTTGCCTTCATCCCTAGGTTATTTGGATGTCCGTGGCCTTCTAGAATGTTACTATACTTTAAGGATTTCTGTGGCCAGTGACGGACGTAATTCAAACTCCTTCCACACAGACACCGCATCAAAGTAATTTGTGTACTGATTACATCACTTTTACTGACAAGGTGGGGAAGTGGGGTGGTAGTTCCCACAAAACGGACAACACTGTCTGTGTCTCCTGGGCGACGCCTTTTATGTTGCCTCCAAACATACATGAAATAGAATGAACCAGTATACGATTATACACATCAGGAACGCAGAGAAAAAAACAAATTTGTTCTTGTTGTATATCAAGGCAACAATTCATCTTTCATAAATGTTTATGTTTTGGGGCCTAACATATCCACAATTAACCAAAATATGTTATGCCTGTATCTACAAAAATATATATATACAGGCTAGGTATTTGCCCACAGCAACACCTGCATAACTTTTTATTCATGCAATTAATTTGCAACTTATACCTGTTTTCCCTGCCCCAACTACTTGTGGGATTATGAATTTATCCCCAAATGATGTCAACTTGTCAAGTTCTCCATAGTGAGTGAGTTTGGTTTAACGCCGCTTTTAACAGTATTCCAGTTATATCACGGCGTGTCAGCTTAATGTGGGAGGAAAGCCTGAAGTGATGCAGGTCGCATACGTTTACCACTTCGGTGAAACCCACGAGCACGGGTATGGTGCTGACAAACCTAGAAACATAATCGGGGCGAACCGGGATTCGAACCCACAATCATAGGTTTCTGGCGTGTTCAAGGGACGCAACTCTGAACAGTGAATTGCTGCGCCTTAGACGACGGGGCCACCCGTGCCCCCTCAAGTTCTCCATAAGCAAACTTGTTGAAGATTTCCATAAGAGTCAAAGACTCAGACAAAGAACAGCCATACCAGCCTTTTATTGTTTGTTCACACTCTTGTATTTATATTGTAAATTGCTGTGTAAAAAACAGGTTTTTTGTAGGGGGGTTTCAAAGGGGGACGCCCTATACACAGGGTCGAAGAGTTTTGATGTGCCCCACCCTGCCCCGCCCCGCCCCACCCCAACACAAGGTCTTTACCATGAGGATGTAGCACAGGAAATATCATGTCAACAAGTCCGTATGGAAGTACGTAAATTAATCTTGTAATTACACTGGTTTGAAAAAGTGTTCATTAGTGCTGCAAAGAATACACTATAAGGCGAATACAATTCGTATAATGAATATAGTGTAACGAATATGAATATTTATTCACGAATAATAACAAGTCAGCAGTTGATGTATTATTCATGATATTCAGTGAAACAATAACAAAATAAATGATTTGACATGGTTTGTTAATTATTAATAAATTATACGTTAATATACTTCACTTATCCAGGTACTAGTGTCTGCTCAAATGCGACAATGACCAGTGACTAAAATACTGTCACTGAAGAAATCTATGTATATAATATGTTCTTATGGATATTTTAAGGGTCAGGGTATGTAAATGCACATGACTGAATATTCATGAATATTTGATTCTAGTGACCACGAATAACGAATTCAATTCATGAATGAATACGGTTCGATTCACCGAATACGCGAGTGAATCGTAACAGCCCTAGTGTTTATTGTATATCTGGACTGATGTTTGTAACCTAACTAATTTCATTCAATATTGTTTACATTCATTTCGTGCGTGAAGTGATCAGTAGATCACACAACTCACTGGCGATGACATAAGCTCTCTTGACTATCAGCATGATCAGTCAGATGGGTTTGAAATAGCATTATCATAAATAAAACTGATTATTGAAAAACATAAGAATATATTACCATGATTATACCTAAACAATGCATTTGACTGCAACATCTGGAAGTGGTGAGGACTGCAACATCTGATTGTGGTAAGAGCTGTCTACAGTTTTTATGCTAATAGTAATACATCACATTGTCTATACATTATAGTGGTTGTCATATCTGTCAACACAGATTTTTACATTGTGCTTCGGAGTAGGGAATTGTGCAAATGCACAGCTGGGTTTCCTTTTGCATTATTATTATTATTATTATTATTATCATTATTATCATTATTATTTTGTACCACACTTATCTAGATACTAGAATCTGCTCAAATGTGGCTTGTTTGTTCCCATACCAGTGGATCTGCATGCACTTAGTTATTATTATTATTATGATTATGATTATGATTATTATTTTATACCACACTTATCCAGATACTAGAATCTGTTCAAATGTGGCTTCTTTGTTCCCCATCCAGTGGAGCTGCATGCACTTAGTTATCATTCTCAACTCCCTGGGGAGTATACGACCCAAGCTGCCTGGCGCGAGAGGGTTTTACATCCACCTCACATACCGGGTACCCATTCCCTGCTGGGTGAACAGAGGCACATTTTGAGCTAAGTCACCAGCCCAGGTGTGACACCACACGTTTTGACCCCGGTCACCTACCATCAGATGAGTCTCCAGGGTGAATGTACTGGCCACTAGGTATAATGACATAAGGCCAGGCTTTTTTTATTTTTAGGATTACAGATTTTTGTTTTTTACTAGGTGATGATAACAAATAAAATAACTAACTACACGGCTATCAACTGGGGGAAACAATAGATATCTGATTTATTGATTTATTTTACTTTATTTTTTTCACATTTTCTCAAAAATTAGAGTTGGCAGGTCCGTAATCCGAAAAATATAAAACGGTCATCTTAACGGTGTTGGCTGGAGGTGGGACTACTTTAATTATATGTTAATATGACTCTTACCTTCTGGCCATCACTGTTCTCCCCACACTGATGCTGATGACAAGTATCTCATAGTGTCAACTGTTTCTTGTTGGAAACTACGTCCTCGCTCCTTGGTCTGGAAACGTAAAAAACAAACACTGAAAATCACCTCCAGTTAGTGCACAAAACATACATGCAGACCGGTGAAGATCCGGCTTAGAAAAGGTCTTCAGCAACCCATTCTTGCTATAAGAAGAGAGGCGACTAACGGGATCAGGTGGTCAGGCTCGCTGACTTGGTTGATCCATGTCATCGTATCCCAATTGCGTGAATTGATGCTCATGATATCACTCCATGGATTTTCTGGTCCAGACTCGATTATTTACAGACCGCCGTCATATAGCTGGAATATTGCTGAGCGTAGCGTTAAACAACAAACAAACAAACAAACATACATGCACCTGTAGAGAGGGGTATTGGCAAAAGATGTAATCACATTATACCATGTTATACACTTCAACCTCGTGAATGTGGACTGTACTGTTCTCAGTGAAATTGAGTGATTAACAAATGTCAAGGTTCATAAATCATGTCCATGGATTCCCTGAGATTTAACATTGCAAAGTTACCAGACCCGATAAAATGTTGCCAGTCCAGAATTTTCTAGACTAATGAACAAAAGAAACAAATGGGTAAACATGAGAATAGTACTGTTTAATGTTTGTTCTCAAAACATAACAGGGGGCACGGGTGGCGCAGTCGTCTAAGGCGCCGCGATTCGCTGTGCAGAGTTGCGTCCCTTGGGCACGCCAGAAACCTATGATTGTGGGTTCGAATCCCGGTTCGCCCCGATTATGTTTCTAGGTTTGTCAGCACCATACCCGTGCTCGTGGGTTTCACTGAAGTGGTAAACGTCTGAGACCTGCATCACTTTGGGCTTTCCTCCCACATTAAGCTGACACGCAGCGATAAAACTGGAATACTGTTAAAAGCGGCGTTAAACCCAACTCACTCACTAGCTCTCAAAACATAACAAAAAGCTGGTGGATTGTCAGCTTGGTAGCTTATACTCGTTGAAATTTTATTCATCAATAATCATGATAATGTGTTAAACATTAACACTACAGTTAATTTACCATATCCATTGAATTAAAACTAGAATGCTTAGTAAATTTATGGAATACAATAATGTCCCAACCATCTGGCAGGCAACTTTTAAAAACTGACCGTCCATCAGTAAAACAGACCATCTCGGACTGTCAGGCCAAGAGATTTTATTTGACAAGACTATAGGACTAACTGGTTTTTACTGAATACCACAATGTGTTAGGTTTCAGTTTCTGGAATGCCCTTTTAAAGAAGATAATTTCCGTCAAACATGCTTAATCCCCAGCATGAAAACAAAAAGACAAATCTATGTCAAAAAGATTTTCTTTTCATATGAACCTGCAGCAAATAGTATCATGTCTATAAAATGATAAACTGTGCAAAAAACGTAACATGCAAACAGCAGAAGAAATAGAGAAAAGTGCAATGAATAGAGATCATCGTCTTCCGTATCATCTTGACACCCAAATCTAACCGAGTCAGCTAGGCCTCAAGCAAGCAAGCAAGCAAGCATTACATCCTTAACATTCCATGACGTTGCGTACAAAACTGAAAGGACTGATACATGTTATCAGTCCTGTGGATTGATGTGGATTATCAGGCCCTGTGTCTGATAAGAACAGTGACATTTCACTTTTATCCTGGAGGAAAAAACAACACATAAAGACTGACACATAGTGTATAAAGTGATACGTCAGAAGATTGTTTCAAACCCACAGTGCATACAGATAAAGTATGTGCTTCTCTATAAATAGAATCATGTTAAAATAATACATTTAAGTGTAAACATCATCAGTGTAAAAGTATAACAGGGTTGAAAGGAAATGAATGACCCTAATCGCAGATCTACATGTGTGTGCAGTAGGGCTGCAACGAATACACTATGAGGCGAATACGTATCAGGAATATAGGGTGTCGAATACGAATATTTATTCACGAATACAACAAGTCAGCACTTGATGTATTATTTATTGTATTTAATGAAAAATACACTGATCGCTTGCTGCAACACTACCTTTGGGGTCAAAATAATTTATGAGCATAATGGACAATCAGTCTTTTAAACAGGGTGGAGTTGTAGATGACCCACACAACAGACTACTACTTTTAAATTTTTTGTTGAAAAAATATTCGATTCTTGTGACCACGAATAACGAATTCTTTTCATGAAGGGATACGGTTTGATTCACGGGATACACGAGTGAATCGTAACAGCTCTAGTCTGGCAGGTCTGCAGACAGCATGTGTTTCTCCTAAATGATTATTTAGAAATTTTAACTTGTAGGAGATAATTATAAAGCATACATTTACAGGACATGGGGTTATTATAACATAGTAACAATATTTCATGTGCCATGTGTAATATATGCTTATTATACAAAGGTCAGGATAACCTTCGATCAGTGTATAATATGTCACCAAACAGCTCATTGTTGGTACCTCAATCAGCGGAGACTACAACAACAAAATTAAATGACAATTTCAACATTACCCATATTGGAGATGAGTAAATGGTTCCTACAATTATGGATTATAGTGTATGGATTCATAAGTAACTAATATATATTTCGAATTTAACAAAAAAGTATAAAAAAAAAATTTCGGGGGGTTGGTTCATCCATGACGTAATGAATGACAAGCTAAAGAAATCTTTAAAAAACACATTTAGGCCTCATAATAAATTTGAAATTAGTTGCTGTTTTGGTCAATTCGGGAGGGAATGAGGTGTACGAAGGTAGGTGATATAATATGTATACTCTCATTGAAGTAAATCATTCAATCAGTGTTTTTGACAGCAACCTCATCTAAAGTGAGTGAGTGAGTATGGTTTTACGCCGCTTTTAGCAATATTCCAGCGATATCACGGCGGGGGGACACCAGAAATGGGCTTCACACATTGTACCCATGTCGGGAATCGAACCCGGGTCTTCGGCGTGACGAGCGAACGCTTTAACCACTAGGCTACCCGATCGCCCCCCTCATCTAAAGACGAACATAGATGTATATATGTTTGTAAGTCTTTGATATATAACTAACCATACGGATTGAAGGTGAGGTGAAATGGTGTTTAAAGTCTCGTCCAAGATTATTGCACTTATATAGCGACGTGCATGCATGTGTGTGTGTGTGTGGCTGCTTGTACTAGTCTGAACTGATGCCGATTTATAGAGCTAGCACACTGAGATACCATGCCGCAGTTTAACATGAATACCCCACTCAGACACAGTATACTGACTCCGAGCCGACCAGTCCTTGTTTTAGCCCCTTAATGCCAAGCGCCAGACTGGGTAACAACAAGTACCATCTTTTAACATCTTTTGGTGTGACGCGGCCGGGGATCGAACCCTGGACCTCCCCCTCTCCAGGCGGACGCTCTACCACAAGACCACAGAGGCGGTCTACGGATTGAAGAGGCACTCGAGATGTGTCTTGCTTTTATGATAGATTTGGGTTGCAAATCGCATCAAGTTATATCAAAGACGTATATAAATACACGTCTTTGGTTAAATTTGGGTGCGGGTAGAATCACAATTCTATCCTTAGCCTTTGGAATCTTAAATGAAAATACTCGTGAACATATTCTGTCAGCACCCCTGTCCAAAATGAGCACGTGTTTAATGATTGAAATAAAACATATTTAAGAACTAAAACCAGTCAAATAGGTATATTTGCAAATTTACGCTCGTCCGCAGTCATTATTTAACACGTCCCTCTTCTTGCACTAGATTTAGGCCACTAGAACAGCGTTCCGAACACACCCACTCGTAACCTCACTGACTCCTTTGCACTGATGAACTAATAAACAAACAAATAGCTGCGTTGCTTGCAGAAAGTGGGTCATACTTATTACTCGAAACAAGTGAATTGACTCAAATAACGCATGGATTTTTCTGACTTACCTCCGAGGACTTGCGTCATACCTAACACAGTTGTTACTGAAAGGAGGTAGTCAACCGGAACTAAGAAACAGGAAGTCCCGTTAACAAGCGGGCAATAACACAGGACCGTACCTCACCGGGCTGACAACGAGTATTTCTCACAGTAAGTGCGTTGTCACGCCCGACCAATTACTATAATGGATTTTGTTTTGGATACCTTAAATTTGTTTCGGGGTGAAGTTACGTATAACTTCGCATGATTAATATGATTAAAATGTGTACATTTTTCATAAAAACAAGAAACCCTCGCATGATCTATTTGAAAATATATACTCCGAGTTGATGCATCAGACGCAATATCGAGCGAGGAGCGAATATATTGATTTTTTAATTTTGCTTGCTTACTTTATGATTACTACAGGCCGCCGTCATACAGCTGGAATATTGCTGAGTGTGGCGTTAAACAATAAAAAAAGAAGCAAACATTTAACTTGCAAGCCGTGATTTATATTTCACTGAGATAATGTTAATCCCACTCCTTCGTCAAATCAAATAGTATCTTTGATCAAATTATGTTTTTTCGATTGGTCCAGTGGATCAAAATACATATCGTGCTGTCGTCATTAATTTTGATCCAAGTTCAATAAATTGACCCTGACCTTATATCGTTTTCAATATTAATAATATTAATAAAAATAATAATAATACTCGGCCCAGACTGAGTAGAGGCGATCTGAACGACCGCTGCATCGAAATTATGTAATATTTGTGCTGAGAGGATCAGGGGCGGTCGGGTGGCCTACTGGTTCAATTTAGAATACAGATTACTTTGTGAATACATATAGATCTGTATGTTTCAAAAAATAAAACTAGGAGATGGTAGATCTACAAGTGGTTTCCCAAACATCATTTACAAAAACGTACTGTAATGTCCAAATCACAAGGTTATCACAAAGTTAATTTGCAACGTTGTCGTTACGTTGTGGAATAACGTTACAATGTAACGTTGTACTAACGTTGGCATAGAGAGACGCAATTACGTTCTGAAAATTTTAGTATTAAGAGATGAAAATTCAAATGCCGAATATATAGAAAGGTAATGCATTACTGCCTTGGTATTCTGACAAATTCAGGTTGATTTTGATAATGC